GAACGGCAGTAAGGGACAAGCCGCTTTTTTCCACACTGCGGAATCGCACCAGAGCCAGATGTAATCCTAACCCTTGCAGATAAAGCAGGGCTGAGGACTGCTTAAATGTTTTGTTACCCTTGCAGAAGAGCTTAAGGAAAAGATGCAGGCTCTGCATAACCGGGAACACCTCCTGTGTCTTGTCTCAGGGGTTGCATCCCCAGGAGCTCAGGTGCAGCACCAAAAGGTTGGGCTTTCCAGCTACAACCTGCTGGCAGGTTTCAGCCACTGATCCTTGCTCTTGTGCACGGCGCTGTACCACATCACACAGCACCTCCTTTTCCACTGTATTAGAACATTGATACGCTTTGGCTGGTACTCCTAATGGTGGCATTGCTTTGAAGGGGCTAAGCAGTAAATCTAGGAGGATAGATTGCGATATAGGTCTGTGGGAACAGAGGAAGAAAAGAAGGTAGAAACAAGCCACAACAATTGTAAATTGGCAAGCAACTTGTTCAGATAAAACAAAACTAGACAAAACGCCCCACTTTCTGTAACTTTGAGAAATTCTTATTTTTGTTAGAGTCCTTACAAACAGGCTTTTACAGGGCAGCATTGTGCACAATGTTCTCTGTTTTGAACTAAGGCTTACACAATATGATCCATACGTATGTGCACAATGGGAACCCTAAAATGTGTTTACAGACCCTTATAGGAACCACCTCATTTACCAGTGAGCTGCAGCTACTACTAGGATGAAGGACAGGGTAGTCTGAAGCAGCATACTGTTCAGAAAAAGATGACAGTGGAATACTATGCCTAGCTGAAACTACCTGGGAAATATTTCAGCAATATCTGCTTGATTAGCAAAGTGGCCAAAAACAGCAATGCAGTGACTTCTCTCTTTCTCTCCCTCGCAAGCCGTCCACTGCTTGGGCTGTTCAAGTTTTCATGGGAGGGAGTAGATGAGGCCCTTTTTTCTTAATGTTAATTTACTTCAATATGAAAATATGAAGATAAAAGATAAATAATTGCAACAGTCTTAAGAATTCAAATAAAGTAAAACAAAACATTATCTCCTCTATTAATTAAGCTAATCAGTTGCCTTTAAGAAGTGCAAACAATTTAAAGTTCAATTTATTGAGACTTTGAACCTCCTATCCTTTCACAGGATCCGCAGATGAAATCTCTACCAATTTTAACTTCCTTTTAAAAAAATGAAAAAATAAAATAAAGAACTAAGACATTGTTATTCATAGTCCTATTCTTAGTATGACATACTTAAAAATATCAAGTATTTTCATTATTATTTAGTAAAACAAAGAAAAAAAAAAAAAAAAAAAGAACAAAATCATTGTGTAATATTAACCGGTTTCCAAATCTAAGTTTTGTGTTTTTTAGGAATTCCTTAAGGTATTTGGACTGGGCACTGAAAGAATCAGAGAACATTAAAAAGTAATTGTCACAGGTAAAACTTAAGCTGGTTCTCCATTCAGCTTGGAGAGATCAAGCAGCATGCAGTCTCTGCATGCAACACTGAAACTGAACCAATTGCAAAGGAAACTACAAACTCTCCCTGTATTTTGATTTCAGTTCTGCAAAGTATGCACAAAATTGTTAGGAAGAAATAATTTGCAACAACTGAGGACCCTCAACTATCATGTTTTCATGGAAGATTATGGCATACAGCATCTGATCTCTAAGGAGAAGGAAACATGCATAGCAAAATCAATCGTAAGGGTAAAGGTGAAGAGTGCCCAGGCTCTGAATTGCTCCACAATTCCAAGTGCTCCAAGTTCCGTGTTAGTATTTTTAAACGTGTCAAAGAACATCACGAAGCACAACTATCAGAATACAAAGAAAACCATAAACCAGCACATGAACCAAAGGCCCAGTCAAATGAAGTTTTCCTCAAATAATTAGAAAGTAAAAAAATGACTGTCTAAAATGCAAACTTAAAATAGTCAGTGATTTTAAACATTTTTACCACTATCATTTAAATTCAGTTAGATCCCTTACAAATTATTTTAGCTGAAATACTGAAATATTCTATTATATCTCGTGATGCAGTATGTCTACCATTGAAATACACAGCGCTTCGTTGTGTATTGCCTCTGACCCATTTTTTTCTATATTTTAAGGATAAAACATATGATCTGCATTTGTAAAGCAGTCTTGTCTTCTCAAACAGTGTCAATTTTTGCTCAGGGCTATATTTTGTAGCAGTTTCCCACTTAGTTTATTGGTAATAATTTATAATAGACAAGCAAAGAGTACATAATATGTGCAGCCTATTACTGCTAAAAACAGATTCAAACAGTTTCGTTTTCTCATGGATGTTTGTGAAAGCTCTACTACCAGTTCCAAAAGCACTGCCATGCAGAACATACAGCTTTACAGGCATGTTAGGCAGTACCATGAAACATCAACGAGACAGTCCAGTGCCTGTGGTTTTAAACCAAATTCAAATAGAATTGAAAATAAATGTATCTTTTAGTCTTGGAATTATGACACAGACGTAGAATCATTACAGACTTTCAAGTATGGGTCAGATCCTCAGACACTGTAAATCAGAGCAGCTGTACTGATGTTGATTGA